ATTTATGTATATGTATTGTTTTTATTGAATTATTTTCTTTTGTTCATATACTGTTAATGTGATGTGATAAAATTTTTTATGTGATATATATTTGTGTAATGGCAAAATACCAGAAAATCGGTAAATTTCTAAGTTTGTAAAAAAAAAATTTCTTATTTTCTAAATCTGAACATCAAAAAACCAGTAGTTTGGCAAGACATTTTTAATTTCATATTAGGAAACATGATGAAGATTATTCAACACATAATGAAAAAATTTCATGTCACATGGTGAAAAACATCATAAAATATGATGAAAAATATGATCAACATGATGAAAAGTCGTCATGTCAACATGATGAAAAGTTATCATAAAACATGATGAAAAGTCATCATAAAACATGATGAAAAGTCATCATGAAACATGATGAAAAGTTATCATGAAACATGATGAAAAATCATCATAAAACATGATGAAAAGTTATCAACCTTTTGACCAGTACGGCTTGCCATATTAATTAAACCAAATTTAGAGATAAAATAGTTTTTTATGGGCCATTCAGATAAATAATAATAAATTAATCTAAACAAGAAAAAAACATTAGAATTAACAAGATAAGATTTTCGTAGGGTTGAAGGAACCAGCCAAAGTCTCTTCCGTCGTATTGTTCTAACAAAATAAAAGTAATTTAATAATTCGGGTATATTATAAATGAACTGTCTATCTCCATGTGATTTTCGTGGAGCCTCATTTGCTTATTTGCGTAACATTTAGAAAAATTATTTTTTTCGCTTCTTGCACTTTAAAGTATGAAAATATAACTTTCTTTATATTTTTAAAAGTATAAAAAAAATATTGATTTCATTAAAATATATGTCTGCTTATTTATTAATAAAATAGGTACAGTAAATAACACCTTACCTAAAGAGATATAAGAAATGTAATCTGAAGTCATGTGTAACCCTGTATATCAATCCGGCTATCACTTTTTCCGGGAGACGTTTAATGACAAACGGTTATTACTGTAATTCCGGAATTTCCTAGTGAATTAATAAATGTAGGGCGCAATATTTTATTTAGAATAGATACTTAGTAATTTTATTTTTTTTTTATTTACGTCCGCGATGACGTTAAACTATGAGGTGTTACGTCCGAGACTATTTGAAATTAGAAGATAGGATTAATACTTATGTTCACGATGACGTTGGAATGATTTAGAACCAATAATTTTATTTGTTTATATAGAATAAGGGATAAATAATGTAGATCACTGTAAATGTGATATGGATAAGGGATGTGATTGTGACAATGATAATGTAGATAATGACATTCAGTTCGGAATTGCGTAGTGATGATCATGGTAATTGTGACATTATAATAAGAATATTTTTGGAAAATTTGAACTCTGTGAAAAATTTACAAAAGACAAAAGTTACAACAGAATAAGAAAATACGTAATCGGAATGTTATTAATCCGATATATTTAAAAAGAGTAATATTGGATACAGAACTCAGAATTTATAAAAAGAGTGAATTTTGGAATATAAAAAAGTGTAGTATTTATTAGCTTATGGGAAAATAATCGATAAAGGTTAGTAAGTAGGAAAATTGAATATTCTAATAAGTATTTTATCATTTTGATATTATTTTATTTATGAAATGTAATACGAGAATATTATTAAACATGGGGAAACCATCGAAGTTCAGAAATGTAAGTTATGAATATTAAGAAAGTATAATAAATAATAAATTTTGGATAAGAAAGTTAGTTATTTTTATTATTTTATTTTTAGTTTTATTAATAATATTATTATATTTAGAAACCAAGCATAGAACTCGGGATATTATTAATTATTTTGTATATTTTATTATCATGAATAAAGAAAACAGTATTCAATGACGATGTGGTAAACGTACATTAGTACGGGATCGTCATATTCAGAAAAAATTAATTTCGTCAATCTTTAATTAATTTCGACGGACTTTTATATGTTAAATACTATTGCTCTTGAACGGTGTTTGCACTATCTTAAAACACGTCACAACAACATAAATACTTCAAAAATTTGCTAGAAAAAGTATTACATTATCTGGGTGTGGTTTTCATAACCGGTAGAATCAAGGTGTGCCAAATAAACTAAAAAGAAAAATAAAAAAAATATTTTTTTGTAAATATTAAATATTTTTCAATAGTGTAAAAAAAAACCTCGTAAATTTGCAGAATTCGTGTATAAAAAATCTCAACTTAACTAAAATATGGTAGAATGGTGACTTCCTCCAAGGTAAACTTGTTAATTTTTTTTGTTGAACGATAAAAAAATTTTTTTTGTGGCTTATTCACATTTAATGTTATTGATTGGTGAATCATCGTTACATTTAGACGTGACCTTGTGGGACAAATCGGCAATTAACGTAATTCATTACTACTAGCCCAGTGGCATCGTCATACCCCGAGTTTCACTGTTTATATTTGTCTGAGGGACTTAGAGTATGTAAAAACTTATTCGTCACCCTTATTCGTCAGTTTATTTTCACGTGTTAGTGCATAACGCCATAACGCCGGCCCTGCGCTAAATTTTTTGTCGGTACGACTGGGGTAGTTCGTAATTCATATAAAATCTGTGCCGGATCTACAAATTAATTTGTACCGTTGAGTGACGGACCGGCAATTAATATCTTAGGATATTATACATTTGTTAAAATGCACTTTAATTAATTAACTATCTTAACTATAAGTAAATCACTTTTCTAAAAACATTGTATGCTTATTGTGGTCTATCCAAGTGCGTGGGTTTGCAATTTGTCTTTCACACTTATTAATATCAGTTACTACTAAATTTTTAACATCCTTGAAACTTGCCCGAATTGCTTGTACCCATCGTTTATTAACAATATTTTCTTGTTCTACAATTTTTAATGTTTTATCTAGTATTAATTTGTATTTTTTTTGATCGTAATTATTGAATTTACAACTGTAAGTTGGGCAGATTCATTACCTTCGTTGTATTATTTTAATACATTATTTAAAAAAAAGAATTATTTTTGTTAATATTAGTATGCATAAGATAATAATTACTATTTACTTTTGTTTGAATTAGAAAATGGATTTTGAATTGATTCTTATAAAAATATAAACACTCTGTGTTCATGTCGCAATTACTTTTCCGTTACCTTTTTAACATAGGGTGCTTTTGGGATAGTTTATCATTGTATTTCCTAGATCATACAACATGTTGTAGTGACATAATATCGGTTTAATACAAGGCCTTACTCCCACTACATACAGCTTCTCAGGCCATGTAATACTTCAAATTTACCCAAAAGGAAGGATGCAATAGCTGTACTGAGACGAAGGTCAAAGTAATGTTTTACCCATGTAAGATATAGATAGTGTAATTGGTATTATTCAATTTGATTTATTTGGTTTGAGAGTTTTAGTATCAATCTCTAAAATTTTTTTCGCAACTAACCTGTTATGATGTTCAAAAAAAAGTCAATTAAATTTCAATATTAGATTACAAAATTTTTTTAAGTGAGATTTTTGACAAAAAATTACGTAATAAATGTTACGGCACTAATAATTTGTAAAAATCATACATCGGAAAAATCCGCTGTTTTAAATGAAATCTTATTTCTTTATTATTCATAATTCTTTGAACTTAATTTCATAATAAAGTGAATTTTCATAAATTAAAAATCATAGAATCAAAGTAAAAAAATAAATAAAAAGTCTTAATTTAATCATAATTAATAATTTAAAAACTTAAAAAATCTGTCGTATACATGTTTCTTTTTTTCTTCTAAACTTATCCTTAATTGAACCATAATTGGCAAATACTTAATAATTTAAAAACTTAAATAATCTGTCGTATACATATTTCTTTTTTTCTTCCAAACATTCTTAATTGAACTATAATTGGTTAATACTTAATAATTTAAAAACTTATATAATCTATCGTATAAATATTACTTTTTTTCTCCCAAACATAACTTTAAATAATATATTTATTAATTTTAACATAGATTAGCACTTTATAAATTCGTCAATTTTGATTAGTGTAAACGAGAAATAAAAATTAAACCATATCGAAACGGTTTCATTGCTAATGTTGGATATGATGGGAATCAACATCTTGTAACTTGATGAATATCACTTACATCTTGGCGATCACATGTCATTACATTGTTATCAATATTACTATTATGCGAATCTATGTCCTCATAATTATTGTTAATATGATTAACTTGATGAATATCATTTATATCTTGGTGATCGCATGTCAAGTCATTAGCTTGTGTTGTCGTCACATTGTTTTCAATATTTTCATTATGCGAATCTGTACCTCTATAATTGTTGTTGATATGATTAACTTGATGAATATCATTTACTATATCTTGGTGATCGCATGTCAAGCCATTAGCTTGCGAAGTCGTTACATTGTTTTCAATATTTTCATTATACGAGTTCCCATAATTATTATTAAAGTCAACTTGTTGCTGTGATTGGTGAATATCATTTATGTCTTGGTAATCGTACGTCAAGCCGTTAGCTTGTGTTGTCATCACATTATTTCTGATATTTCCACCATACAAATCTGTGTCTCTACAATTATTGTTGAGATCAACTTGTTGCCATGTGTAGGCAAAATTTCTTGTTCTATTTACGTTTTGGCTATCATTACCATGATTAATATCTGTTGTCAAAACAGATTGTGTTACGGGTGTATTATTTACAATACTTCATGAAACGATCCCATTTCTCTATCAGTAATGTGTAGTGAAATATTATTGAAATCAATTTGTTGTTGTGAATTAGTAGTGACATTATGAATAACTCTATTTTGTGGTGTCGCAGATGTTGAAAAAGGATTGATGGATTGAAGGAAACCATTGCCTTGGCTATTGGTGATCGAAACTGCTTGTGTTGTCATTACATTATTTCCGATATTTCCACAAAATGAATTTGCATTTCCATTATTACCTGGTCTTTTGGGAATTTGTTGCGGTATACTATTGAAATTACCTTGTTGTGAACTGGTAACATTATTTGTATAATATCCAAGTTCAATTTGTTTAGAGAAACTATTATCAAAATTAGTTTGACTATCTCCTATTGAAATTGTTTGAGTATTATATCCGTAAGGAGAATTTAGGTTTCGATCAGAATTCATTTTTAATTCCCTATTAGAAGTATGATGTTGTGTAAGATGAAAAGGAAGGATTCGTTCCAAATCTTGTTCCAAATTCAATTTTTGATGCAAAGATAATACTTCTTTTCGTTCCGAATTATTTATACCAATATCTATTCCGTATGTTTTTCTGTTCAACATGTTTGCGATCAAAGAATGTGGTAGTATTTCACATGTGATATAATAATTTTCTGTATGATTAATATTATAAAAAAATCCATGATCATAATTGCGGTCATCAAAGAAGTCAGAACCTTGTAAAATAATTTGGCAAGTTATATGATAAAACTTATCATAATTTGGTGCATAATGAAAAAATTTATGTTCATTCATTTGTAACTTTGCGTAATGGATTGAATATCAAAGTTGAATGAAGTGTAACGATAGAGTTACTGAAAGGAGGATAGTAACCGTTGGTTATAATAAAGAATTGTGTTAAATAACAATAAATGTGAAAAATAATTATAACATAATCTCTTTCTATTTTATTCGCAAAATTTTTATGGAAAAAAAAAATTAAAAAATAAAGATAATTTGTAATCTTAATTTAAATAAATATTTTTTTGAAAGATAGTGGAAAGGGGAGTAGAAGGCTGTTTCTGAAAATATTACGGGAATGAATGGGTACCTTAAGATAATATATAGATAATACCCTAAATCTCAATATATTCATATAAAAGAAAGCATAAAAAAATGTTTTTTTTTTTGTATTTGAATTTAAAAAATCGACTTGAATTTATCAGTTTTTTTCGGCGTCTTATAACCGATGCAGCTGCATTAAACATTTAAACAACCATTTGAATATTATTTTTTTTGGGAAGCATAATAAAGATCTTTTAAAATAGTTGGTTCTCTATATAAATCATTTGTTTATATCATTATACATTATTATATTATTCTTGATTGTCATAAGATCGATTGTTTTGTTGACTGTAATAATAATGTAATCAATATAAAAAATTATATAATATATCCATGTTATTATAAAAAGGTGACAAAGGTGACTCATTTGGAAATCATTTCTCATTTAAGTATATCAAATGTAAATATTTCGTCATTATTATTGTGAGACGTTATCAATAAGCACTCACACGTCTTTCATTTCTTTCGATTTATTTCTCTACGCCGAATATTCTCTTTTGATCTTTGTAAGTAGAAGTTTCAATCAGAAACCTAAATTTAGTATTGCTTATCTATGACGTGATTAAAAATAATAATTACCTCGATAATATAACTTTTTTTAAAAAAATTATCACCTTATCAAATAATTTAATTTCGGTGTGTCTTTTGCCTGTAAACCTGTAAACATACTTTTATGTTTCAAATTATGTATTTTCTGAGTATATACTCTTTTTAGTATAATTTAATCCGATCTAATAATAGTAGGTGATACAGTGATACACTTATTATTAGCTGCATATGATAAGTCCTTGACAAAAGTCTGCTGTTATTACAGCAGATATCTGTTACTCACGACAGGTATCTGCTATTTCATGACGGATATCTGCTGAATTTGCGGCAAGTATCTGTCGGATTTGCAGCGGATAGCCACTGCGGGTAGCTGCTAGATTTGTGGCAAGTACTGTGCCTGCTGAACTTGCAGTAGGTACCTTACAGGTTACAAATATAGTATTGTTTTTTTTCTGGCTCAAACTTATTTATTGGTTTCACGTTTTAGTAATCTACCGAATTATTGGATCCAAACTATTTTCTCCCTTTCAGAAGTGATCTTCATCGCCCACAATAAATTTTGCTGGAATTAATCGGTATAGTTTAATTTTCTATTGTAAATTCGAAGTTTTTTCTTAAAATAAAGTAAAAAAAGTTCAATGTAAAAAATAGATTAAAATCCAATTTTTAATTATATAAGAAAAGAAAATTTCTTAATTCACACTGGGCGTTCATACCCGTATCACGTGACTTTATTAAAAAGTTATGTAAAAAAAAATTTTTTATAAATATAATTTTAAAAGAGACATTCAGTATGTGTATTTTTGTCTGTTCCGCAAGTTTACTTAAAGCGTCAAAGTTAATTTTGAATGACAATTTTGATTTGTTTAACAAATTCTTTTTTTTTCCTGTTTTTTCCGTTAAATTTAATTCTCATTAAATGATCAGCATAGAAAATTTACTTTTTTGGAAACCCGCCTGTGTACAAATAAATATTTACATAATTCTTATTGTTACATATAACTTAAACTAACTATAATTCTTTATTTAAAAAATTATTTTGTAATTTCTTGTAGTTGGTAAGTTATTTATTTAATTAATTATAATGAATACTGTGTATTTTTATAAAAGAAAGTAAATAATTTTAAAATTTACATATATCGCCGTTTCAAAATGGTGTATGCAGTTATATTAGTTATATTTGAATATGAAAAAAGAAAACCGAATATCGGACGAATACTGAACAAAAAACGGATAAAAACTGGACGAACATTGGTATTCGAATATAAATCACAAATAAACTGCCCACACCATTTTGAAAACGACGATAATTAAAATGAGTTAAGATAAAGAAAATTATTTAAAATATATTTATAAATTAATAAATTATGTAACTGGATAAAACAAGATTTATTTTAAATTTGTTACAAATAATTTAATAAAATTGCCATACTATTTATTGACGTAAAAAATATAACTAAAAATGTTATGTTACAAATCATTACAAGATCTTTTCTTCCTGCTGTTGAGTCGTCGCTTTTTCTTTCTGTTTTTCTTTTCTATATTCTTGAATCACTTCCACTACCTTCTCTGGAGTCGTGTGTTCTTCAATGTTTCTACGTCCAAATTATCTTGTCTAAATTGTTCATCATATGCACAACTTCATCCTCCATAGATAGTGAATTCTCTTACTATGTTTGGTGACTCCAGTACGTCTTTTTCGTTTGAAAGTATATCAACTTTGCAGAACTTTTTATAATCGAAACCATATCGTGGCTAAGTCGAAAATTTATTGTAGACCTTATAACTAAGATTTGGTCATGATATGGTTTCATATCGTCATGATAAGATTAAGTTGATCATATGTATAAAGTTAATGCATATTAAGGAGATCATCACCGGGTCTTGTAGAAATCGTAAAGTTATGTTAAAGTTATAGTCAAGTTATATTAAATGTATATTTAAGTTATAGTTAAAGTGTATTAAATATATATTAAAGTTATATTATGTAGATATTAAATAAATAGTACAATTATATTAAAGTTATGGTAAAATTTTATTTTCAAAGTATTAAAGTTATATTATGTAGATAGTTAATAAATAGTAACAATTATATTAAAGTTATAGTAAAACTATATTTTCGAAGTTGTATTACAAGTCATTAAATAATAGTAAAGTTTCTATTCTAAGCTTATTAACCCTAACAATTAAACCCTAACAACCATATTTTTCACATTCAAAAAGGAGAAATCTGACCGGAACTTGCGAAAATGTCATCAAGAAAGAAAATCAATGAAATGTTTCTTAAATAAAAATTACCCAAATTTATACTTTCCAAAGAATGGTCCAGTCGAAACTAAATTCAAGTCTGTTGTCCAATTGTTCCAAATTTGCCGCACCTAAAGAAAATCCAAGTCCAAGTCTAAATAAAAAAATTCAAGTCAGTCTCAAGATCCAGGAATCTCAATTTACCGATACCTGCAAAAAAAAAATAAATAAAAAAAAACCAAAAAAATAAATATATATAGAAATAAATTTTAAAAAGTCTCGAAACAAAGTTTTACTTCGAAACTTACCAATTCATTCCAAGACGCTGATCTACAGCAACAAAAAGAACACCAAAATCACAATGTTGAGAAATCCAACTGAAGAAGTCCAAGAAGCTAACATTCAATGTTCAATACCAAAAGAACCGGATGCCTACAAAAATAAAATAAATTAAATTAAAAATGTTATTACAAATAAGTTTCGATTAAAACTTACCATATCAGCATATCCAAGTCCTAAAGCCGAAAGAACTGATACATACAAAAAAAAGAAAGATTAAAAAAAAATAAATTAGAAAAAAAATGTTTTGAATTTTCGAATAAAACTTACCAGACCCAAGTTCCAAAGCGAAGAAAAAACAAATTAAACAAATTTTTAAAAAAAATTTTGAACTTCTATTGAGTCTGTGTTCGAAGACAGCAGCCTACAAAAAGAAGAAAAAAACAGAACGTCGGTTATATGTTTTGTTGAAAGAATTATTTACAAAAAGTCAAAAACTTCCTCACCGATTTTTCTTCTTATAGTTCAAGCTGGCGTCTTCTTAAAAAAAAATGAAAAAACATTAGTTTGTTTCTTAAGAAATGGAATGGGGATTTATTTTCTTTTTATTTTTAATTTAAAGTCCGGTTTCGTGTCCAAGGCGTCCTACAAAAAAAAACAATGAAGTTCGTTTCTTAAATTAATTTAAAATAACAAAAAATCCCTTCCTCCCCCCTTTCCCCATTTTTTACCTTAAAGTCCAGTTTCGTGTTCAAGCTGGCGTCTTCCTACACGTTCTACAAACAAATAGCGGAAAAACATTAGTTAGTTTCTTAAAAATAAAAAGAAAATAAATCCCCCTTCTGTTTCTTAACTTAAAGTCCGGTTTCATGTCCAAGCTGGAGTTCTACAAAAAAAAACAAGAAAGTTCGTTTCTTAAATTAAAATAACAAAAAATCCCCTTCCTCCTTCCCTCTTTCCCCATTTCTTACCTTAAAGTCCAGTTTGGTATTCAAACTGGCGTCCTCCTACACGTCCTACAAAAAAAAAATAATGAAAAAAACATTAGTTTATTTCTTAAAAATAAAAAGAAAATAAATCCCCTTCCATTTCTTAACTTAAAGTCCGATTTCATGCCAAGCTGGCTCTCTACAAAAAAAAACAATGAAAAAGAAATGTTAGTTCATTTCTTAAATTAAAAAAAAATGATAAAATAAATTTTAAAAAGTTTTGAAGCAAAGATTTGCTTCAAAACTTACCGATTTATTCCAAGATGTTTATCTACAGCAAGGTACCATTCTACAAAAAAGAACAACAAAGCCAAGTGGTGTCCAGCGTCGAGAAATCCAACTAAAATGTCCAATGTTGAAGGAACCGGATACCTACAAAAAAAAAAGATAAAATTCAAAAAATAAATTAAAAAAAATTATTAGATAAGTTTCAAATAGAAACTTACCATATTAGCATATCCGAGTTCAAGCTGAAGGAATTGATACTTACAAAAAATAAATAAAAAATAAATTAAAAAAAGAATATGTAAGTTTCGAAATGAAACTTACAGTACTTCAAAGAAAAAAAGGTGGAAAAAAGATGTAAGAAAAAGGTTGAAAAGGAAGGGGAGAATGAAAGGGGAAGGGAAGAACGAAAGGGAAGGGGAAGGACGAAAGGGAAGGGAAGAACGAAAGGGAGGGAAGTACGAAAGGGAAGGGATGAAAGAGTCTAAATAAAGGTAAAAAAAGTTTAATTTTGCCATTGTTCAAAAACGTGACGATTCACATGATCAATCGGCAAAAAATTTTACCAAGATCAAATAGTAGATCATTACTAATTTAGGTCGAATAATTAATTTTGGCCGAATATAGGCCGAATTTTTATAAGGTTTTATTAAAGATTAAATTAATTAAATAAAAAATTGAGATTCATCGTCAAGTAATATTTAATGCATCAAAAAATTATCTTGAATTGATTTTTTCGACTAAATTTTGATGACAATTACCATCTATTCACCACCTATTCACCACCTATTTACCACCATTTTACAACTTCGTAAAGATATGTTATCGACAATTTCACAAGATCGTTTGATACCATGTCGTTACATGTTGGTTAATGGATCGTTGTGATTTGATGGCGATTTCTTAACTGCATGGTAACAAATCACGGGTTTCTGCAAAGAACTTGAATAGGTTTGGATTATATATTTTCTTTCTTAAAAATAAAATCATTAAAATTTTCCTCCTTGGAGGCCCTGTAAAAAATCTGATCCGTGTTTTATCTTTCCATGTTTTTTCCGTGAATGTATCATTTTCACGGAATTTTTACGAAAGACACGGAGAAATAATGGAAATATTCGGATAAAAATTTTTTATAGGGAGGTATTCTGGACCTTCTTTTTCTATTGAACTTGTAATAGCATCACCTAGAATATCGCTACCCTTAAAATATGCGTAAAATACTTTTTTTCAAAACTTTTAAAAAGAAAAGTTTATAATGACTATTAAATCCAAATACGGTAAATCTTTTTCTTCACCATGCAATTTTTTACAAGCAGCCCAACGGTACCACTCTCGAATCATTGATAATTTTATATCTGCAGAAACAATATGATTTTAGTTCCATTTAAACTAAAATTAATATTCACGCTCTTTAGCCATCTTCTATCCATTTGATCTTTCTTTAAATATATTTCTGATTTAACTAATTTATATTTGTGCTGTATTTTGAAGCTAATACGTCCAAACTTTTTAAAGTAAAAACTATCGTACCATTGTTCCCATTGGTCATAAAATAAAAATTATCCGACATTTGATCAATTTCTTCTATAGGCAATTGATCAACATCTCCGGTTCCTATTTTTTTCTTATTGCTGCGCCCGATTACCTGATTTTTTTCCTTTTTTAGTTTTAATTTTACATCAAGTTCTTTGTTTTTGTTGAGCTTGTCTGAGCCAATCACGAACCGTCGCAGTATCATTCCCCATCCTTCGAGTAAAAAGTATAAGTTATTTCTTCACATGTTTTTAATAAAAGTTCTACTGTTTCACTGTTTAAAGCTGTATTACCTGCTAACAAGTCAAAATATTCTGATTGCGAAATATTTTCTGGAAAAACTATCTATATTTTTGTAAAATCCCTTTTCAATGTTCGTTTGATATTTCTAAAAAATTCATTAATAAACCTACTGACTTCATTGAAACTTATATTAAAAACATTATTAATATAAGAAAAATGTAGTCAATATTTAACAAGAAAAGAGTTTAATTCTAAGTTGTGATAATATTTTTCAATTGGATTATCGATTTATCGAAAAAAAAAATACTTTAATTAAAAAAAAGTCAATTTTTAAAAAAAAATGAAATTTTTTTTGTTATTATGATTGAAATTTTACGATTTTTTTTTTACAATTAAAAAAAAGAGAAGGAAATGGAAGAATGTTGATGGAAATTCAGAAATTAAGAGTGGAACCTTATGAAAGATTATTAGTCAAAAGTTTTAGATTATGAAGGACTAATAATTAAGTTCATGTGAACAGTATAATATGAAGCTTTAACTTTCTGGCTGAAATTTTATACCAAAATTTAACGTATTTTGAAAATTTTCAATCATTTAAAGAAAAATTCAAATTTGGAACTAGTGGAAATTAAATTATTGATAAATTTATTAAGGACGTTCAATTAAAAGTATTCAAATGGATCAACTATGAAAAATTTGAAAATATAGAATACCTGGTTGACTCTATATATTACTAAATAATTTTTTAAATAACTGATAAAGAATTTAATTAGTTTAAATTATAAATAGTTATTGGTTAAGGGGAGGAGGTAAAATATCGGTCACTCCTGACACGATATTTTATTCGCCAATCACCATAACCAATAACTAGATTATTATGTCAGTCACGCAGGATCATGCTATTATTATTAAAGAGTATTAAAAAGTATAACTAAACTGCAAAATTTATTAAAGGATTAATTTATAGTCATACTTAGCTGATAAAAAAAAATATCAATTATTTAGCCATTAGCAAAAAATATCCAGTCCGTCAAAATCAGCATGATCCTAATAGACTGACCAATAGCATTATGAATAATATAACCAATCCGATCAATCAAAAAACTGTGCTCAATTGTAACTATGGTCTGGTTAAGTTATACATTTTTTCGGTCAATCCGGTACGATCAAGAATTGAACAAGGCTAATATTACGGTCAATATTAAATGATTGTTGTCATGTGCTACTGCGTGACACAATAGGACCCAGAAATATATATACAGGGGTAGGGTACACAGATGCGTCGCCATCATAGTGGAATTAGACGGAGTAAAGTTTTGATTTGCGTACAATTTTAGAATTTTTCATCTATAGTTAGGTCATCAAGATTGCGTATTTTTTATCAAATTTTTTATATGTAAAAAATTAGTTTGCGTATTTTTGACCTAAATTTGGCTAATCTTATATATATCTGTCTCTTATACACATCTAGATGTGTATAAGAGACAGATCTTATATATATAATATATTTACTGTACGTACTTATTTAATTAACTGAATTGTAAGAAATTTCTAAGGGTTAAAAAGTGAAATTTTAGAAAAATATTATTAAAAAAATGGTAAATTCTATTTTTCACATTAGTATTTATAATATAGAAGCCATGATAAAATAATTAATAACTTAATGTCTGAAATTTTATTTGCGTATTTTTGCAGGATTTTCAATATCAGGTGTCAATTATGCGTACTACTCATATAAAAAGTCTCTGCGTACAGCTCATAGTAAAAAAATTTTTCGCCACCTGACCCCTATATATATATTTCTGGGTCCTGACACAATGACAGCCAATCAAACAAACATGTTTTGACAATCACCCTATAAAAAATTTTATCCGTTATTTCTGTAAAATACTCCGTAAAATGGAACCTTTCACGAAAAATGTAAATAATTCGATGAATTCCGTGATATAAATAATACTTATTTCATGGGGGATTGGAAATAAATGGGTAATCCCCTGGAGCGTGTCACTCATTAAATATTAACTATTTTAACTATTTTAAACTAAAATTAGTAATTTCCCGGCTATCTATATGAGACCGGGAAATAACTAAACGAAGATTCCCGGTCATTTATAAACTCAGCTAATCACTCGCAATTTTTAAAAATTAGTATGAAGGTGATCATGAGTGACACTTAGTGCGACAGGGGATTAGGTTATTAATTCCGGAAATATGAGCCTTTTACAGAAAAAAAGATGGAATATAAAAAACGGATCGACTTTTTTTACAGGGTCATGGATTGCAGGAATTGTAAATTGATTAATTTTAGAAAAAAAAATTCAATTATAAAAAAAGGTCTTTGTAAAATTATTAAAAAGAATTAATTAATAAAAATTTAGTACATATGTTAACCCGCTTACATTAAACCTGGAAAGGAGTGTTTACGGAGTTACATTATATTAGCTCCCAAAGTAAACCTTCAGTTGTTATTCTACTGTGTCTGATATTTACATATTAGGTATAATTAATTATGTATGAAATTATTTCTAAACAATTATGATAGATAAACCTCATGATCCTTCAGTTTGCTCACTTTAAGAATATGTAAAGGCCTTAGACCTAAATTCAATATTAACGTACCACAATTACTTATAAATATAATTGTTAATATTTTAAGACGGAAATTAATTTACAAATTAAAGAGGCAGAAGACCATAATGAAAAATTATCTCCTACATCAATTATAAAAATATGTATTAATTTATCCTTTATTCAACTAAATATACTGTGTACCTTTTAACTGATAATTTTAAATAAACTTAAAAATATCATTGAAATTAAGCAAGAGTTGTGTAAATGAAAATAATAATGTATAAAATTTATAGATTTTTAGGTTTATTATAAAATGCATTCCGCAATAATCTTTTCCAATTGAGACTACTCATAAAAATATTAAAGATAGTCTATCTTTTCAAAATTCATTTATAATACAATCAAATTAATTCCAGCAAATTTTACGATGGGCAGAATTAGAGATGAAGATCACTTCTGAGAAAGGAAATCAACTAGCTTGGATCAATAATACTATAAATGTAAATCAAGAAAACATCTTTGAACCAGAAAAAATACAATACCATATTTATAACCTGTGGGTACCTGCCGCAAATCTAGCAGGTACCTGATACAATCTCAACAGATACCTATTGCAAATTCGGCACTTGGTAGTTATCCACCGTAAAAACGGCAGATACCTTGCATGAAAGTAACAGTTACAATAGCAGCAGCCTTTGGACTTGCCATATACGCGCAGAGTGCACATTAATTATAAAAATTTTGTGCGCATGAAGTCATATGCTTTTAATCACATGCTCAGAAATTAAAATGATGTACGCTGCGCAGTCCACTGCATGCAACATGCACATTAAAAACCTGTTATTGCGTCAATGAAAAAACATAGTGATGTGCATTTGGAATCTTCCAATTCTTCCAATTCCAAGCCTTCCAATTCCAATAGATTTTTATTGGAAGCTTCCAATGCACATAGAAATGTATATACGTATATATAAAAAACTAATATGTGTTGAAAATTATTGGAATATTGGAATCTTCCAATGCACATCACTGCCTAAAGGGAATATTAAAGTCGAGTTGGAAACAAAATAAAACCTCATTATTTACCACCATTAAAGGATCCAATCTGAAAGATTTTAAGAATAAAAAAATTAAACAAATATAGGAAGGAAAAACTCATTTATTGTCATGAAGAGCCTAGTAAGTGAAAGACAAAAAGAAAAGAAACTTGGATATTGTCAAAAAATAAAATACTTATACCATTAAATAAAAAGAAAAGGTTAGACAAAATGAACAAATAAAATGGGAATAAATAGGAAAAAAAGTGAACTTACCTATCACAATCTTGAAAATTCAGTTAAAAGGAATAAATTAGGGACTGAATGAATAAAATAAACGGAGCTGAAAAAAAGCAGTTACCTGCTGCTATTAAAAAGTTCATTAATTTTGTGATTTGTAAAACAACTAAAAAATAATTGCCAATTATTAAAATAATAACAAATAAATGACACTAAACAATCAGCTTCTTTGGTCATAATGCTTAGCAAGCATAAATTAGTGGACAAATTTTTTTATTTTTGTTTTTATCAAATGATGATTAATTATGTCTGACATCAACCTGGCAAACCAAAATATGCAAATACTGCAATAAAAGCTATTGATAATAAATTAGAAAATTTAAGGACCACCAGTTAATAACTATATTAGGTACATTTATAAAATCATAATATATTTGTTTAGTAATAATTTTTAAAAAATTTTACGTTATATATTAAATCAGATTCATGAAAACCCGGAATTAGGTAAATAAAATAATTTTCAAAATAATTTTTGATACAATTTATTCTGTAAAGAAATTATTTAATTATTTCATAATTATATAATATATTTCAGTTATTGTTATTTAGCTTACAAAGAAACATTTGCTTATCTCAAAGTTCAAGGTAAAAAAAAATCACAAATAATTTTTTAATCAATCCAAATTAAAGATTTACAGTAACATCTAGTGCATACAACATTGAAACAGCAATTGTAGCAAAATTTTCATATAAAGGTGGTAATAAGTATATGAAATATTAGCGATCTAATCATTTTATATTTATCAGATAAAATCATTATAAATAGATATGATGCTCTTCCAGGAATCGGTCATACTTGCGGTCACAGTAATTCGTATTTATCAATCACATGTACAACAGATAATTTCATATTTTAATCAATTATTCATTTTTAGATCTAATTGCGATCGGTGGTGCAATTGCGTTAAAGGCCATATTTGAAAAACATGAAATTCCTGGAAAAGTAAAATTATTTGGAAGGTTAATAACTAATACATTTATAATTAATTTAATTTAATTTTTTTTTATTTACAACTTTTCACTTTAGAAAATGGAGGTGGAAAATTGAATTAATCAAAATAGGTGCTTATGATGATGATGATGATGTAGGTGTTTCTTTAATGATTTATCCTAGGTAAGGTTATTAGTCAATAATTTTGTTTTCCCTTTGAGAAGACTTAATGTGTATTTTTATGAAGCCCTTTAGATGGAAGTTTTTTAAATTGCAATAAGCCATGGGAAAGAATTAACGCATTGAATGCTATGGTTTGGCTTATAATAATAATGGATTATTAAGACAATAACTCAAATCTACTGATAGGTAAATTATATTTGTTGTAAATTTATAAAATGTACTAATAATCCATTTTTAATTCTAACCCGGGTCAAAAATCCAGATAGAAACCGAAATCTGGATTGGATTTACAACTGATCGGCAATAATTCTGGCCAGAAACCATAACGCCGGCCAGAATTACAAATTTGTGTAACATTAAAATTTTCGTGACACTATAGCCGATAATTTTTTATTTTCCCGGTGTCACGTGATATTAATTTCGGCCAGAATTACAAATTTAGCCAAAATTATCTAAGACCGCGAAATTCTCATAATTCCAATTTTACCCAATACTTTTTTTTAAAACAATTTCATATTATTTCAGCTGAAGATTACTATAGATAGATGTGTTGAGTTAGGCAATTTTTAAAATGTTAAAATGAGATTTGTTTCTTCTTCCAAAAATTAAAGAATCATTTGAATCAAATTATATAACACTAAGATTTTAATTTTTAAATAAAGTTAATATCTCAATTTTTTGTAATTTGATCTGAATAATTATTCATTTAAAAATAACAATTATAAAAAAAATAATAATAAAATTTTGATTCTTTGTTTAGTAAATTATTACGTTTTAAACTTGATGCAAGTGCACTTTTCAGTATTTAAAATTTTGTCTATGGTCGTAAATAATTTGTAAATCTTAGTTATATAAAGTTACGGTGTTATGCAAAAAAAAAAAAAAACAAATAAATATTCATCCGGATTCTGGTTTAAACCGGATATTTTTCATCCGGATTATAATCCGGATGAAAAACATATCCGAAAAAAAATATCCGGAACGATCCGGATACGAATCGGAGCACTATCATAAAGTACTAAAAAAATATTTTTTTAATAAAAATGTCTCTGAGGTTAATATTATTTGTTATTAGTCACTTGTTACCTATAAAAAGAATTTTTAATGTGACCGTTTGCAATTTTGCCGATTATCCACAAAGTTCATAAAATCCCTACATAATAACGGTGGATTTATGAAATACCCAAAATTTGTCCGTCATGTCAAATTAAATAAATATTTTAGTCACCAATTTTTATTTAAGTCACCAAATTTATTAGTGAACAATCAAAAATGAACCAAAAAAATTTTTTTGTACCCAAATCTTGCGTCTAACTAATTTTCCCACTATCTAACCAATTTTTCCAGTGTTAAAGGCGTGTCATTATTTGACATTTTTTAGGAAAAAATTTAATTCCCAAGGGCGCAGCAGGAGTTTTTGGCAAATTTCATATCCGATCTTATATTTCTATTTTATAGTACTTTTATTAAACAATCATTGTAATTATGTAGAGAAACTTTGAATCACAAATTTCAACAAAGGAGTTTCCTTTCTTATTCTTAGAAAAAATAGTAAAGACGTCTATATGCATTTCAATACATGCTATAAATTATTAGTAGTTCATAACAATCATACATCGGAAAAAAAAGCCGCTGTTTTAAATGACTGACATCTTATTTCCTTATTACCATATTTTGCGGTTAAACTCCCTGGCCAGAATTATGAGGATCCTGGCCGGCATTAAGTGCAAAAAAAGGGTGCTTATTATTCCGCAAAATACGGTACTCATAATTTTTTAATTTTAATGAACTTATATTCATAATAAAAATCATAAGCCTTTATTTAAATTTGTTAATTCTTAATAATTTAAAAACTTAAATAATCCATTGTATACATTTTACTTTATTTCTTCTAGACATAACATATTCGTTAATTTTAACATAGATTAGTCCTTCAGTTATTTTATAATTTAACTAATGTAAACGAGAAATAAAATTAAATTTAAAAGTATCTACTATGTCAAACCGGTTTCATTGTTGATGCTGAATATTCGAGCAACTTGGTGAATTTAAGCCATTGGTTTGCGTTGTAATTACATTGTTATCATTATCAATATTACTATTATGCGAATCTGTGTCCTCATGATTATTGTTGATACGATTATCTTGGTCATTTACATCTTGGTGATCGCATATCAAGCCATTAGCTTGCGTTGTCATTACATTGTTTTCAATATTTTCATTATGCGAATCTGTATCTCTATGATTATTGTTAATATGATCAACTTGTTGAATATCATTTATATCTTGGTGATCGTATGTCAAGTCATTGATTTGCCTTGTCGTTACATTATTTCCAATATTTCCATTATGCAAATCTGTGTTTCTATAATTAGTAGTGTTGATATGGTTAACATGATCATTTGTATCTTGGTGATCGCTTATCAAGCCATTGGTTTGCGTTGTCGTTACATTATTTCCAATATTTCCATTATGCAAATCTGTGTCTCTATAATAATTGTTAAAACCAACTTGTTGCTGTGTGTAAGCAAAGTTTCTAGTACCATTTACTTCTTGGATATAATTTTGATTAATATCAGTTGTCAAAACAGATTGTGTTACGGGTGTATTATTCACGATATTTCCATGAAATGAATTTAAATTTCCAGAATAATTTGATCCCATTTCTCTATCAGTAATGTGCTGTGAAATATTATTGAAATCAATTTGTTGTTGTGAATTAGTAACATTAACATTATAAGTAACTCTATTTTGTGGCACCACAGATGTTGAACTTGAAAGGGGATTGATTGGTTGAGGAAAACCATTGTTTTGACTATCGGCGATCGAAATTGCTTGTGTTGTCGGTACATTATTTGTATTTTCATTACAACGAATTCCTTTAGGGATTTGTTGTGGAATATTATTTAAAACAAGTTGTGGATTAATGACATTATTAGTAAAACACCCAGCTCTAGTTTGTTGAGGAAAACTATTATCAAAATTAGTTTGATTATCAGTTGTCGAAATTGTTTGTGTATTATACCCATAAGAAGAATTCATTCTTATTTCTTTATTAGAAGTATGATTTTGTGTAAGATGAAAAGGAAGAATTTGTTTCAAGTCTTGTTCCAAATCTAATCTTTGATTCAAAGATAATAATTCTTTTCGTTCCAAGTTATTTATGCCAATATCTATTCCATATATTTTCTTGTTCAACATATTTGCGACCAAAGAATGTGAAAGTATTTTACACGTGACATAATAATTTGCTGTAGGGTTAATATTATAAAAGAATCCATGATCATAATTGTAATTATCAAAGGAGTCAAAACCTTGTAAAATAGTTTGGCAAGTTATATGATAAAATTTATCATAATTTGGTGCATAATGAAAAAATTTACATTCGTTCATTTGTATGTTACTTTGCGTATTAGGTTGAATATTCATATTCATAATGGTTCTTAAATTGTTAATAACGTTGATAAAATTGGATGAAATGTAACGGATTATCGTTGGTTATAAAAAAAATTTGTATTAAATAACAATAAAGGTGAAAAATAATTTTAATATAATATCTTTCTATTTTATTCGCGAAATTTTTTATGAAAAAAAAAAAAAAAATTTAAAATAAAGATAATTTGTAATCTTAATTTAAATAAATTAAATGGTTTTATTTTTGAAAGAAAAATGAAGAGGGGGAGTAGAGGGCTGTCCCTGAAAATATTACGGGAACGAGATGGATGATCCTAAACCTCAATATATATGTCATATAAAGGAATTTTAAAGTTTCTCCTTTTTTTTTTATTAAATTGTTTTGAGTGGTATTGGAATAAAAAGTAAATTCTTAAAAATTTTATGAATTTTTCGGTGATTTTTGAGGTCTAGATATAAACATTTTTTCAGTACCCAGGGATGTCTTAATTTGGTCAGAGCTACGTGATTCTACAATGAAAAAAGGAAATAATCTTCCAATAGTGTTACTAATTGAGAAGATCTTTCTTTTCACAGTATTTCGGCTAATTAATTTATGCATGTCCTCCATAAATAAATATTTGTTGTAAGAACTTGGAATTTTGGTGACACAAAAAAAAAACCGCACAAATATATTTGGTGAATTTTTCATTTCCCATTCGGGTGATCATAACCTGGTATACACCTGTCTCTTATACACATCTAGATGTGTATAAGAGACAGAAATCGTAAGGTTATAACCTTTGATGATCACCTGTTTCATCCTTTGATATTTTTACCAAAAGCAGCTATCATCTGCGCCTAGAAGTGATCAGTGCCTGATTTAAACTTAAAAGTTAAGACCATCTTATTTGTCAATTAAAAATAATTATAAAATCGTTTTGCACTGCCTCACTTATCACTGTTTCACTTGTTACTGCATCATTTGTCACCACTCTTGTGATTAATATAGAAGGGTCATCTGAAAAAATAAGTTTAAAGGAATTTACCTTTTTATTTTCTTATTTTCTTTTTTTTAAAAAAGTTTATGAGTGTCATGTGACCTGTCTGCGAAACTGCGCCAGAACTATTTCAAATTAGGTATTTTCAAATTAGATATTAAACTGGCGTTATAATAATCTTTTTTTTTCGTAACAATGGACAAATTTTTTTTTGATATATATATATATTTTTTTTTTGTAATTTTTTTTTCTTCTCCCCGGTAACTGGCGTTGTACATCTTATAAAATAATATATTTTATTCATAATCCTTTTCTGTATGTTGTGCTGTTAATAAAATTAGGTTACCACCTTTGCCGGCATATTTACTTTACATTACTCCCCTTATATAAGGTACAGAATGTAAGGTTAATTTAAAAATTGGTTAAACTTAAAATTTTATTGCAAAGATATTTTTTAAAAATTTTTTTGCAGACATAATTATTCAAAATAATCTTATTTAATGAAATTTTATTTGCAAATATTAAAAATATTAAAATTTAAGTCACACATTTTCGATTTCAAAGAAAAAAATCGGTATATTTATTTTTAATGAAGTGATACAAATAAAAATAAATAAAAAAGATAAATAAATTACAATGATTAAAGGAGTAAGGTGCTAATAAAAAAAATGAAATAACAATGGAGTAATGGAAAGTAATAGAAGAAGAAAGAGAGTAAAAAAGAGTAATGAGAAGTGATAGGAGACAAAAAGGAGAAATAGGACATGATGGGAGATGAAAAGAGTGATGGGAGACGAAAAGGAATAATGAGAGACAAAAAGAAGTGATAGGAGAAGAAAAGAAGTGATGGAGAAGAAGAGGAGTGATGGGAGATAAAAAGGAGTGATGGAGACGGAAAGAAGTGATGGGAAGATGGAGTGATAGGAGACGAAAGAAGTGATGGGAGACGAAAAGAAGTGATGGGAGATGAAAAGGAGTAATGGGAGACGAAAAGAAGTGGGAAGATGAAAAGAAGTGATGGGAGATGAAAAGGAGTGATGGGAGACGAAAAGAAGTGATGGGAGACGAAAAGAAGTGATGGAAGACGTAGAGGTTGGAACCGACCAAAAAAACCTTAACCGATTAATAATCGACTAATCAGTTACCATAACCGAATAATAATCGGTTAATTAATCGGTTAATTAATCGGTTAATTTGTGATGAGGTTAACCGATTAATTAATCGGTTAATATATAAATTTTGCACCCTATATGGATAATATACATGTATTATTTCAAAAAGTTATATCAAATTTTAATGGGAAACGAGAACTGACTTTAATTCAAGGTTTACTTAAATGGAAATTAACAATATTAATGATAGTGGAATTGAATTGCAAGTTTTTAGGAATGTTTTTATTCCGCCGCCCATTTGAATATTTTGCGTAATATATATCACATGACATTTAGCTACGTCATAAATAACTTAAAATAAAAACAAATACTTATAAAAGCATTTAAATATGTTACAAAAAAATATATAATAAATGACCAGATAGAGATTCATTTTCAATAGGTCTATAATCAATATATTCTGAAAAAATGTCATTTGTTTCATTATCACCCATATTGTATAATTTTTTTTATAATAAATTAAAATTTCTCAAGTTTTTATAAAAAGTTTAAATGGGTTTATTTTTTTGACAAGTTTGTCAATACTGTATATTAAAAAAAACTTCTTATCGGAATTTCGGGATAAAAAATCATCTAATCTGAGAAAATGATCTGCATATTATTTTAACCGACTAAATTAGTCGGTTAATTAATCGGTTAATTTAGTCGGTTAATTAGTCGATTAACCGATTTTTTGATACTTCTAACCGATTAACCGCCTTAACCGATTAATTAATCGATTAACGTTAATCGGTTCCAACCTC